TCTCTCTCTCTCTCTCTCTCTCTCTCTCTCTCTCTCTCTCTCTCTCTGCAAAGATTTATGTGTATTACAAAATCCACATTATCCATTAAAATCTGCTTCAGTCTACGTTTGGCATTACTAGTAACCTTTCTCACTTCACTGTAATCACATCTTGTGAAAATTCCAACAGTTAATACTAGAAGAATAAATATTCTAATGTAGCTTTCACTCCAAAATCAGTCATTTGTACTAAGGAGTGCCAAGGACCAGCTCAATAGTTTTGGGGTATCAAGAATAGGAGGATTGGATCAGCATAAAATCAGAGTCTTAGGCAAGGATGCAGGTGCAAGCTGACAGGTGACTCACTGTTGTTCTGAAGCTGTGCTTGGAAATAGCTTTCAGGTTTTCTCTCTCTAGTAATGCCCTCAATCCCTTTTCCAGAGATTTTTACCAAAGTTATATTTGAGGACAAATATGGCACAGGAAAAAGAAAAACAAACAAGCAAACAAGAAAGTGTAATGTCATCTGTATACTAGAAAGACAGAGATTCATTGTTCAAGTTGACACTGCCCCAGCAGCCAAAACTGTGTCACGCAGCTGTGTTCACAACATGTCGCACCTGACAAAGGAGTGTCCTGGTTTATATTCATCTGTCTTTTGTGACAATGTAAGGTCTACAGATGAATTCTGGCTTTCATTGCCCTTTTGTACTCAAGGAGTCTTCCAAGTATCTAACATCAGCAAATCGGATAAACATAAAGTTACTTAAACCCTGTGTATCTGTGCCAAGATAGGTGTCTATAAATTATTCTAAGACATAAAGAAATGAATTTATGACTGTTTCTGGGAAGCCATTGGTAAGAACTAGTTACCATGATGGCTTTGACATGGACAAAAGAGCTTTTTGCATTCTTTTTCGAGAAAAATTAGTAACCCAGGTAACCCGTAGTGTTATGAGAAAATCAAAGCTATTGTTTTAATTTTGAAGTTCCTGAATTGCGAAAGATTATATTTATTGCTTAGACAAATTCAGACTTGGGACTATTCCCAAAGAAGTTTTAAAACCTTCTTTCATTGCAGAATAATCGACACTTACATCATGTATGCATTTATTAGGTGATGACAAATATAAATTCTTTGTCACAAGGACCCATGGCCATAGCTTCTTCCAAGGTCACATAGGACCTTTCTTATAGTGTCCCGACTTCTGTCTTTGCAAAGATTTACAAATATTTGTTTTATTTTCTCATGTACTGTGTCAAAAACCACAAATGGAACAATACTTATGTAATGACTTTATGTTCAAAAGGCTACAAAGCAAGTATAGCAAACTTGTTTTTTCAATGATAAGATTCAACCCTGCCCTGTGTTTACTAGGCAAGTGTTTTATTGCTGAGCTATATACCTCCAGTCTTCAAACAAATTATTAAAAATTATCTCCTATAAATTAAATAGAAAATATTCTATGTAAGTAATGCTTTTCTGAAATGATTTATGTAAAAGAAATTAAATAGACCATCTTTTAAATCATCATTGCTTTTTCTCACAAGTAAGAGCACAGCTTCTTATTAATCATGGCCTCCACTGTTAAACAGTTTTCCTATTAATGAATCATAAACTAATAGGGTGAATAACTTTAGTGTGAAGAAATAAGATATATGTCTTCACAAAGTACTTCTTTTGCTCTTAGCTGGAAGCTGAACTTCAACAACTGGTAGTGTGGTTGGCTATTCTCCCACCTGGGATAATCAAGCTTTTTCTGCTCAGCAGCTGGGGCCAGACTGCACATCACTCCCAGTGCTAAATTTGGGGTGCCACCTCTTTTGTTTAGAAGGATTCTGAGTATTCTGTGTTTTCGGGGGTGGAGGTTTATCTTGGCAAATTACTTTATATAGGCTTAGTCACACATCAAGGCAAAGGCTGTGTCACTCCTTGGGGAGAGTCAATAGCTTTGATGTAGAAAGTCTTGCAGACAGGACAGAGAAGAGATTATACCCCAGTGGTTCCTATCCCTGGAACTGTGACAAACAACTGGCTGACAAGGCTTACACCCATTAGCCTCCTGGTTCTGTTTAAAGAAAATACCCACTCTGACAGAGACTTGGTAGTGTCTCCTGTGTGAAGACTCCTGAATGTGGAGCATAGTCATTCCATAGTTTCTATCCTCTACCCATCAGGTTGGAGTTGTCAAGTTGACCACCTAGCCTTTCTTGAATTTTTGTTGCATATGGGTTAACTCTATGCATTCTTCTTTCCAAAAGAATTGGTTTGTTTGGGAGTCAGGGGTTAGTTTTT